GGAGTTGCTGGTCTACCACTGCTTTGATCAGTTAGTTTGTTTGTGTAATTGTGTGATGTTAAAAAGGATTAGTTCAGATTCACCAAAGTCACACAATAACACAAACAAACTAACAGACAGAAGCAGCAGTAGACCAGCCTCTGTTTTCAGTAAGCTTAAATTACTGTTTTTCTCAATGGAGTCTGGTGGCCTTGAAAGTAAAATTATCTTTGCTCTCCTCAAAGCCAGACTGCACTGACAAAATCAGTAATTTTACCTCACTGAACACAGGAGCTGCTGATGTACTGCCTTCTCCATCAGCGGGACCCTTTTTCAACCAAATTTAGCGCTTGTGTGTTGGTTTCTTGAATGAGCGAAAAACCCATTAAAATGGACGATAAACTTCTTTACCATTGCTAGAGTTGTACCGATACCGATACCAGTATTGGAAATGCCTCTGATACTGCCTAAAATGCAGTATCGGGTATCAGCGAGTACAGCCTATGACCAATACGATACCACGTAATGCCTCACGTCATTATGCATACGCACACTACAGGCAAATGAAACGGAGTTTAAAAAGCATTCTACTGTAGCCTTTAAAATGTCTTTTTACCAAACTGTGTGGCTGCACTTTGACCTGTGTCTTGATCTGTGTCAACACTGGATAATAATAATAAAAAAAGTTTTACGGCATTCATTCTACTATTATGTATTTATTTCTTAATATTTTACACAGAGTTTTAGGAGTTGAGACATACAACAATTCATATCCCATCCATTTTTATTTTACGCGCTGGTATCGGATCGGTACTCGGTATCAGCAGATACCTAAAGTTCAGGGATCGGAATCGGTATAGGGAAGGAGAAAGTGGTATCGGTGCATCTCTAACCATTGCCAGAGCCGTGGTGTCTCACATTCGACATCATGGACGGCTGGAAAACGAGTTAGTAAACAGTAGAAACAGCATGGAGGCCAGTGAAACCAGTGAAATCTTTTTCTTATATCTCAGTCGTTCACTAAACTCGGTGCAGACAGAATTTCAAATGATGTTCAAGCACTTCTTGGACGGAGACAGACAGTATTTTGTAGCGGCCTGTCATTGCACGACAGAAGCAAAGGGGCTAAATTTAGCACGTCCACGTAGGTGTTATTTTTCCATAACTTGCAGTTGATGCTGATCAGAGCTGAAGCCGATAAATATCTGTGACAGAAAACAGAAACTCAGTCAAAGGGAAGCTTTTTGGATCCGTCAACGTGATGCTGTAAAGCAGTGGTTCCCAACTGGTGGGTCGTGGTCCAAAAGTGGGTCGCGGGTCCATTCTGAATGGATCGCAAATGACTTGTAAACATGTCAAGTTTGTCAAAAAACACACTTTAGTTTTAAGTAAACAGAGCTTTTATTTTGAAGTGCTGTTTCCTGCTGTAGAGTGAGTGACTAGCAGACAGCTACTTGACAGAGACAGGAAACTAGCTGAATGACATGTTGGTTCTTTTAATGATTTAGCCACTACAGTAAAGGCTTTTTAATATTTCCTGCCTCGCTTTCTATATTTTCAAAGTGCCTGGGTTGCCTTCCTGTGTATGCTGTTGTTTCCTGTTCACCACAAACACCCGACACACTGTTCTGATGTATGTTTGATGTATGCTGCAGAGGCATCTGTCCTGGGAGTGAATTTCAATTGAAACTTTTACCATTAAATTAAAAAGCCAGGTGTTAAGTTAACTCCAAAGTCACACAATAACAAAACAAATTACCTGATTGAGGTAACAGTAGACGTTTTGAAGAGAGCATGGATAAGTTTTACTGTATTTTCAGTTCACTGTCATAAAGGTCTGTCTGTCTGTCTGTCTGTCTGTCTGTCTGTCTGGGAGATACTGAGCATACGGCTGGATAAATGAGACTTGGATTATGCTGCATGTGTTTGTAAACAGTTGTTCTGATATAATTCTGCTGCTGTTAATCGTGGACCCCAATGACTTCAATTCATCAAGAATTTTCTCCAATTTTGGATTCTTTATTCACCGTGGAGGCATGTGAGAAAACCACAGTTTCCTTCGTGAATTCAGCGTAACTCAGGGTGTGTAACTGATATCAAAATGGACATTTAGGGAGTGGAGTATTCCTTTAAAGTCAGTGAGGTTATTTTACTTTGAAAGGGTTTATCAGCCACGTCTCTGCCACGTAGTTTCACTATTTGTGTTCAGTCTACACCAGGAACAAGCTTATTAATGTAACCACAGTCTTATCGCCGCAGCGCCTCAAGTAGCAGCTAATCGTCCCGTCACAGCTGATAACCTGCTGCAGCTGATAGGTTAGTTTCAGTCTCATGTTTAAACAAGAGTGCAGCTGGTTTTGCATGTTTTAGCTCATTGAAAAAAAGTGCATCTCAGATTTACCTCTTGTACATTATGTTGCTTTGTTTAAGAAATGTAAAGACTTTTTTTTCTACTGTTTCAGACAGACGCTGGTTTCAATTCATTTCCCTACTGCATGAACAACAATCAGTAAACTCATGACAAACTCTGTCACAGTGAGCACCAAGTCTGCTTCATCATGGTCAAAGATGTGCAGACATTTAGAAGTAACTGGCATTGGAACTGCACAAAAAACTTAACACAAAAACAGTGTGCATACGTCACTGTCTCTTAAATTATTATACAAACCCACAGAAATGAGTGGAGGCCAGCGGCTTCCTGGAATGTTGTGAAATCATTTTGAAAAACACAGTTTGGAAAATAAATGTAAAGTATGATTTAAAGTTAAGGAGCTGAAACTTACCTGTGTGGAGCGTTCAAGGGTCACAGTGGTTTTGCTTGTTTCAGCCCATTTCCCACAGTCTACACTCCCTAATGCAAACCATGTGATTTACATTTTAGACAAATGTTTGCATGAAATCTTAAAGCAGACTCTTGAAACTGACTTTAATGACTGCAGTGCTATAAAAATGATTTCTCTTTCACTTGAAGATGCAGGAGACGGAAATAAACTAATCTTGGTGTGTTACCCAACAGTTTTTGGGAGGTAGATTGATTTAAAGAGGTACGGATACAACTTTTGGGAATATGTGTATTTGCTTTCTTGCAGAGGGTTAGATAAGCAGATCGATACCACTCTCACATCTGTAAAGTAGATGCTTTTATTGGACTTTATTATCTGTAACCCACACAAGACAATCTACAAATGTGCGCCATGATCCACAAACATGTCCTTTTACATTTGATTTGAAGATGAGCAAAACTTCCTCTGTAAACACGTACTTTAATTTCACAAAAAAATGGGACAGGTTTTGTGGATCCATTTTTACACGTGAGTCTGGTTCTGCACATTTGTGTAATGCTTCTTTTTGTTTGCAAAGTTTTGTGGAATTCCCATAGCAGCAGGATCTGTTAAAAATATCTGTGTGAGGTGCAGTTACTCACCACATGCAGTTAACTAGTGTTCAATAGATGTGATGCTACAGCAGGACTCCAGGAGGTCACTGCTCCCGCCCAAGAAATACACACAGACTAATCTCACACATTAGTTTTCATGTCTTTGGTGTAAAGTATGTAAATCTGTGAGGTTTTCTGTAAAGACGTGTTGCTATTTGCTATTTGTTATTTTTGTTTTTATGTCTGTGAGAAATGAGCTACTAAAGCAAGAAAATGTCCTTCTTATTTGTAATTTGAGTGAACTGACCCTTGACCTTTAAAGTCAGATTCATGCAGAGTGCAGAGGCTCGGAGCCAAAGCTACCCAACATGCAAAGCTGCAGCCAGCAGAGAACCACTATGTAAATCAGTTTAGTGGTTTAGTTTTTGTATAAATGTTGTAGCTGACATAAACTCTCTCATGTGTGAGCGTGATGAGTGAAGTCAGGTGGATTTAAAATGACTGATCATATCAGTTACTTTCAGTTTATTTCATTAAATTTATCAAACATGCTTAACACACGAGTCAGTTTGGAACATGTCAGCAGTTAATAACCTAACCTGTTCAGACCTGACAGGCTCTGAGGCTTTTATCTTTAGTTTTAAATTCAGGAAGAAACCACAATGAAACTACCCTGGAAATACAGAGTTCTCGCGAGAGCACAATTTGAATTTGCTCACTGGATTTCCAGGATACGATGAAACAATGATCAAATAAAATCAAGTTTTAGTTTAGTTTAAAAAAAAAAAATCCACCCTCTTTACTGTACATCTCTTTACTGTTTTCTGTTCTATGTCATGTTGTTCTGTATGACATTATATTTTATTTTATTTTATTCTATTCTTTTTTATTTTATTTTATTCTTTTTCATTCTATTCTATTTTATTTTA